CAGGTTGTATGTGCACCGGTGAGTAAATATATATATATATATATATATATATATATATATATATTGTGTGGCTGAAGAACGGTCAGTGTCGAAATGGACTATGGTGAGTACGAAGAGCCCATGGCAATTCATCTATAGAAACGACTTTGTAAAGGATATGGATTCTTGGACTACAAGCAATATTGAATTATCCATAGAACAATCTTGTTATCAATTTCCTTCGGAATAAATTTTGATAAAATACTATATAAATAAATAATTTTATAAAATAGTATATCAATTAATTAATGATTTTAGATATCATTACGTTCTAAGTTTTTGATAGCCTCATATTATGTATGTACACATTTTAGCTGGTTTATAAATTTTTACTTTAATTTTTTCTTGATAAATTTCGTGATATATCAAGTAATTAATTAGAAATTTTGCGAAACAATGTTTGACCAAAAATGAAAAACACAAAGCCTTTTGTATTAAAATGAGTTGAATCAAAGATTTTTAAATAACGTAATAAGTTGGAAAAAACTTCAACGAACTAAATACATCTGAACAATATATAAAAAGAAAAGTCTTATGTTATCCTAAAAAATATGAATATTTCATTTTACTACAGTCGTTTTGTATAATTTAAAAAAAATCATTAATTTGTTAATCAAACGTTGATACTAATTTTTTTATGAGACAATCACAGAGTCTACGTCCTCAAGACAATAAATCTTCTTTAAAAAATCATATATAATATTCAACTATTATTTAAAATGTGACTCATTTAAATTTTGTAAAGGCAAGATCATCCGTTTGGAGTTATAAAAAAAACTAAATTCAGAAGCAAGACTTTTGAGAATATATAATTTTCTGAAAATTTGGAATTTTCTAGAAATGTATTAGTTATTTCGCTATTATATTTGCATCACAGTGTTGGGTTTTGCAAAACAATTTCATCTGACAAATTGCAACAGATTATAAATTAACATTTTAATTACTAAACAGTCTCTCAACTATTATTTATTAACGTTAGTTCAGAAGTGAGATTCAAGTACAAGTCAATCAAATTTTACGTCAGCTTTCAAATTATATATTACAATAATTTATTACATGTGTAATAAATACGATAAATACTTTAAAGTCTTACACGCTTAATGAAAATTATTGAAAAAAAAAAGACAAAAATTTGAAAAAAAAAATGACGAAGTTATTACAACAATACGATACTTTTTGTTAAAGTTCATTGATAAATTAATGACTCTTACAAAAATCTTTACAAAATCAAAATCAGAACAAAATAAATCCTAATGTAGAGAAAGTATCAGTTTAGTGATCATTTCATTCTCCCCCTAAAACTAAGCCTAAGGCCATTTTACAACAAGAAAATTAATTATTGTTCACGATTTAGCAATGCCAACGAAATAATATAAATAGGTAGAATGTTATTTTACACCTGAGAAATCCATCAAAAACTTTCAATTAACCAAAACCCTGCGGTTAAAACCATTTGTTTTAATGGGTTTAACAAATCATTTGAAACTACTGAACATTTATGCAATGATTTATGGTTTACGGTACAATTGAATAAATCTTGTTTAATTTTACTAATAATTTATTTTGGTGCCAATACTTTCTACAATAAAAAATTATGTGTACTTTAGAAATTGTTTAGTGTCATTACTTTTAATTAAAGTGACCACAAACCGCAAATCATTTATACCCAAATCAATAAATAAATGTGTAAATGGATGTAGTTTTTGCCATATTATTAATTTCAATTTAGATAGTATTTAATTTTAGAGCCTATAATTTTATTCCTTTCAAGCACTTTATATATTTCTCTATGCGTTCCTAAACGTACCAATATTAGTAGTTGTTGTTAGTACACATGTGTTAATCGATGTGATATGTGTACACACATTTAAGACATAATATTTCCTATTTCTCATTTCTTATTCTATATATGGCCAAGTCGACATAAAGTAGGCTTTTGATTATAGTCTCCAAGGTGTTAATCTTCTATATAGTTTCATACAAAGTTACTTGGCTCACATTGACTTTAATATCAAACTACTATATGAATAATTAGTAAATAACCAGTAAAAAAGGTCAATATTAAGTGAAGATAGTTTCAAGAAATATATTGGAATAAAATTCCAATTGTACTATGCACCCAGTTTTGTGCGGTCAAAATCGAGGTGAAGTGCCACTTACAACTATTTATTTAATACCAGCATGGTTTCAGAATATGACAAATATATTGAATGTTCTATTTAATTCTTTTGAAAAATTGCAATCTAAGTAATTAAAAATTTACACGCAGAACAAGTACACTCGTCCATTAATTGGTTCAAAATTGGTGGCACCACAGTATTTTTAGATATGCCATTAAATTGTTACTTTTTCCTAATTTTTTTTTTGATTTATTATTCATAGCAAGTTATACAAAGTACATTCAGCTATAACTGTAACAAATGTAGCTTTGTAAATGGAGAAGATAAAGTAGGCAGACAAGATAACCAATGAAAAAGTAATGAGATGAGTGGACGAAAAGAGAACTCTTCTGAGTACAATTTTGAAAAAAAAAGTAACTGGATTGGACCCATTATGCAACTCCTACCTGACGCCATAGAGGTAAAATAAGAGATCTAAAAGGGCTGGTATTAATTTTTAATGGGTATGATAAACAAGGGAGGGTAACAGAATCTTTGAATTGTGGTGCTCTCACACCATGGACCTGCCTTCAGTTTCACTACTATTTATAATTATTATTACTAAAAAAAACTATCTATCCACTTACGATTATTAGCCTGCACCGCAGCCGCCGGAGGTTTCCTCGGACTGGACGTATTTTGCCGCTGGTGCAGAGAATGCGTCACCCCGGAGGTCGGCGTCGACCTCGCCGGGTCGCCGATAGCGGCGATGAATTCACGGTGTTACCTGCTGCGTTGCTGCTCACATCGCTCTGACTATCGTCCTGCAAAAGATTCGACTCCGATGCTCGCACACGTGTTCTCCTGCTGGGAAGAAATTAATTATTGTAGAAATATAGAGAGGTCGGGATGTAATAAAATACGCCGAGGATGGTAGAGATAATTCATTGTTTGAAAGGATTGCATTGTTGCGGAGATGTGGAATCTTTCCGTGGTCATGAAATGTGGGATATGCGATGATATTGGCTAGATAAATCTTTCGCGGATGAACACAAGATCTTCTGATAAAATACTTCGATGGTTATAATACTATAGAAAAATGAGTAAACGTTTATGATTTCGGGAGCACGAATCAACCGATTAGAATGACTCAAAAAAGTCGATGATTGGGAGACGCCCTGAAAAGCAGGCTCTCCTGTTTCCAAGATTGGAGCAAAAAGTGCAAAAATAGAAGTGTTTGAGAGAACGGAGCGTCCGATTTGAATGGTTCAAAAAATATTTCACTTGTATTAATGGAATAAAAAATTGATTAAACTTTTGGATGGCAGGCCCAGCGGTTTCGGAGACAAAAGTATGAAAACTGCCAAATGGCTTAGACATATAAACATCAAATTTTCAGATATTTTATAGAGATTTCGATATCAAAAACAAACCTAAGTTATGGTTTCACTACTTTGGGATCCGTGCAGAATTTTTTTCAAAATTTAGAAAATTTCCCAGCAAAGAAAAAAACTGAACGTGAGTAGTGTAACACCAATACAAGCACTTATAATTGTTTTATATAAATGTAATTACATAAACTGTAAGAGATGTATACGTAACGTATACATAAAAATAATATAGTCATTACTATTCAAAGAAAATATTTACGCCTGGCCGAACGCTTTCTTGAATCTTTTAAACAGCTTTATTGAGCAAGACAGTTATTTTAAAGTGTCTGTGAAAATTAGCTTGCTGTATATATCTGATTTATGATTATATTTAAAAATATACACACATTAGAATATAAATAAATATATGTAAAATCTATTTCTCTACTTAGATGTTAATTAAACTAATGAATTGCTTCGTAGTCAAACGTCTTTCTTACCCATGTGTGGTCATTTTAACTTTACTCTTATCACAATTTTCTTTATTTTTCACAACAACACCTATATCTTTATTACGCATTATTACTCAAAATATTATACAATATTAGATTTATAAGATTTACGGATGCCACTAACTCTCACTGAATTATAGATCAAACTGCAAACTAACCGGCGAGTTTAAATTATCATGAACAAATTTTGCTCAATAGATAAACGCTTTAAGTAAATAAACACAGAAAAATACCAAATCTCGATAAATAGAAAGCTCACTTAAGAAATATTTCAATAATACGTATTTTGGATAATACATTATATTTTGTATTATTTTTGTGATAAATATGCTGCGGTTTAGATTGGTTGTCGATACTTGTATGATGATCGATTGAAATTGGGATTGCGTTTTATTTAAATGACACAGTGGCGTGCTGATTCAAAATAATTTTTTTGTAATATTACTATTAGAATATATGAATGGTAACTACACTGAGAAATAAAGTAACTACACTGTTTCAGCACAGACATAAAAAATTATCAATCCACCTCGCATACGTAACTACACTTTGCACATATTTTCGCACCAGATTTATATTTGTATTTGAATTGGATGTACCACGATTATTTTTATTTTTTAATTAAATTCTGATATAAAATATATGATGGTACGGTGCATTACTAAAGTTTGTATCTAAAAAACAATTTCGGTGCACTGGTAAGGCCTTGTTCAATAACCGTGACTCTAAATTGGGAGTGTCATCCGTGCCAAAACAATCAAAGTGCATACGCGAGAACAGATCATTGTGTTCATAGATCGACGGATCCCTATGCAAAATTAAAATGCGTTATTGAAAAAAAAACTATTGAATTATTTCGATATACCAATAGTCAATTTTGAACAAGAGCACATAAAACACGCCTGAGTTGTAGCATCAAGACCGACAAGTATGATCTGAGCTATATTGTCGGATATAAAAAATATTTTTATTATTCTTACCTTTTAGCTTTAAGTTGTTGCGAATTCAAACTTCTCTCATTCAACGATTGCACACTACTGCAAGCAACTTTATTCAAAGCTCTCACTCTTGAGGTTGGACTAGAACCATTATTGTTATTGGTGAGACCAGTAGAAATCTTTGATTTGACTTCCCGCAAATGAATAGTAGGCCTTGCATTTTTATTTTCAGCAATTTTATTCATTACAGAATCCCATTTGTTACAACGTTTGATCTGAGGGCGCTTATTCTCTTTACCAGAAGCACCGCCAGACGATGTATTCGTTTTTGACGATGGCTTTGATTTCTTTGTGGATGAACTTGGTGCTATAAAAAAAAAAAAAAACGTCAAAATAAATCATAATTTATCTAGTAAATTTGATTTAATAAAATCAATATGTTTTATCCTTACATTTAACCGCAATTGGTTCGCTAGATTCATCAACCGACATAGCCATTGTTTCATCCAAAGGTACTTTATAGGCGCTCGCATTTGGACTTATAGCTGACGAATCGCTAGAAGAAGCACTTTTAACCATTATACCCTGAGGTGGTGTCACTGTGCGACTATTATTTTCGAGATCTGTGTATACACCACTGGATTCCATGCAGGAGGAAGAAGAATCTTCCACCAGACATAATGGCCCAGCAGTAGGAATACCTAGAGACAAAAATAATTTTTGCAATAATTGGCCATCCAAATCAATATCAATTTTCTATTTTATTAACAACTCATATGATATTAGGAATTATAAATTATTTTACACTTAATAAACTCACCTGCATTATTATTGGCAGCAGTATGCCCATATACCAGTCTTCCATCTATGACTCTAGCAAGTCTGTGTGCAGTATCCTCGGATGAAGCGAGATCAGCATCACTTTCAGTGAAAAAATCAGAATCGGTCATTGGGTCTGGACGTGCATGATGCCTGCCGACAACAACAACGGTTGAATCACCGGTTTGAACATTATTTTGCCACTAACGTTGTTGTTGACGTTATGTCCGTTGCTGTGTAAATGATGACTTTCTGCACCACGGCTGACTGGTCTAGACATTTCTCCATCGCCCTTTGAGTGAAATTATTAAAATATCTCATAGAATTGAAATCTTACACAATAAACAAAAAATAATATAGAATAACAAAAAATGGAATGTACCTGGTATCCATTATCCAAACTGGTAATACTTGTGACACTTGCAACAAAACTATTCGAAGTCTTAGATACACCAGAAGTCGATTGCGATTTACTCTCCGAGTCAGCAAGTGACATTTGTTCTTGAGAATTTTCTTGCGTCCCTATATGTCTTTCTGGTTCCTCAGACTCCACTTCTAATTTTATATCTACTGGGTCCAATGGCAATTCTTCAGGCGGTGACGGTGTCATATCATTTCTATTCATCATTTGCTGCTCTTGACTCTGATGAGCTTTTTGCAGCAATAAATTGAGAGCTTGTCTTCGCATCAGTTGATCTTCGCCATCTTGACTATTGACCATGTCAACCGTAGATGTAGATCCGCCTGATATAGACATCATACCGCCGTCATCGAAGAGATGGGCTGACACTTGCATTATATTTGGATCATCCCGTTCAGACACATTTGGTGATAATAGTCCGACGCAGTTTTGTGAAGTAGCCTTTAAGGTGCTGTTTTGATGACTATCCATACCTATGAGTGTTTGGTCCTGCACCTATATAAATTAATAAAAAAATTATAAAAATAAAACTTATACATTTTTTCAATAAAGCACATATTTTTTAACTTACACTTTGTTGCAAATATTGTTGTATACTTAATTCTGTCGTTGGCGTGATTGGCAGTTGACTGTTGTTCATCCATAAGGGTTGCGATATATTGGCAAGCAGTTCTTCCTGATTACTATTTTCTTGAATCATTAATGATTCGCAATCATCTCCTTCGACAGTCGGAGGACTCATTCTTGACATATTATATGTTTGGCCTGGAGACTTATCGCTTTCTTGTCGTTGCGTTTGTTGTTGTTGAAGCAAGAATACCCGCAAATCAGGATTTAGTGGCTGATTTGGTGGCGTTAAAACAAGCAATGAATCCATTTGATCAGGAGTCAAAATTCCTAAACTCTCATCTTGGTCTATTGAACTTTGTTTACTACTTCCGTAAGGCCCAACTGGACTATCCTAAATGAAAATAATTAGTTAATAAATGGAAATCATAAAAAATAGATTTTTTAACTTACCTGAAAAGTTTTGCCAAAATTACTGGCTGCTCCTAATATGAATGTTCTTGGTCCGCAATCTGTCCAACTGCTGGGCCGTTTCGGTTTATCACTCGCTTCACTAATATCACAAGATTCACTGTGTTCCATTTCAACGTCATTGTCTTTAGAAAATGTTTCAGAACTTATCTTATCACTTAAAACTAAATCAGTCTTGAGATCAGCATCGAACGTTGCATTGCATTTGTTTATTACATAAGATTCATTACATTTAGCCGCTGGTGCATCAGGTTCAATAATAGTTGACGATAAAATTTTGCGTGCTAAACTAAACGTACCATCTGGTACGTTATGGTTAGGTGGATCATCTAAACTAAAAGTGCCATCTCTATTCAAAACTCTTTCATTACCACTATCCGACTTAGATATTTCAAATGTGCAATTATTCGGTTTTGAAAAATCAAATTCATTTTCTCCTCCGTCGGCACTAGTAGGTGTAGAGGATTTGAATTCTATTTCTTGCATTTTATCTGAGACATCCGGGCTACAAAATGCCTTCTCGTGATGACTACTAATTACTGAATTACGAGGTCTGATTTTTCGACGAACGAATTCTGAACTTCCAGATACCATTCGGTGAACCAATTTCGTTTCTTGGGGATTGTCATTCGAAACTGGCACCGGAGGTGGCATTTTTTTCCTGTCACGTAGAGATGGAGGAACTTGAGCAGATAGATCACAAGAATTCAATCTTTGCCGTTTCTTCTTATTTTTGGTGACGACATTCTTATCTTTGTTTTCGCTGGGTCTCTGTGCTGTTGCAACACTCGGGATGCGCGAAGCCGCGAATGCTCCTGGACGGGGTATTCGACTACTCGGGCCTGCCCGAGTCTTACCCAACGTCTAGAAATAAAAGAAAGATTTAATAAAAGTCCCAACAATTTAATTTTAATGAAGTAATAGAATAGAAAATAATAGATTTTGTGATGCTCTCCTACCATGGGCCTGCCTTCGGACAGACTATTATTATTATTATTTTTAACTTCCCGTAGGGTAAGTTATTGTAATGGGCCGAAAATCGAAATTGAAAATTTTTACATTTCTCGACGTTTTGAAGGTTTCTGAACGTTTTGGCATACCTCAGAAAAAATGGATGTGTGTGTGCGGGTGTGTGAGTGTGTATGTATGTATGGATACAAATTCCCAGTCACGTTTTCGGGCGCACGGATCAACCGATTTGAATGGTTCAAAAAACATTCGATTTCTATTGAGAGGGAGATGAGGAAAATCGAGTTTTTGAGAGAACGGAGCATCCGATTTGAATGTTCTAAAAAACATTCAATTAGTAATGATTGAGAGAAGTGTTCAATAGTTTTTGGCAAAGGCAGACGCAGCCATTTCGAAGATACGGAGCTAAATGTGTAAAAAATGGCAGTTTTTGAGAGAACTAAGCGTCCGATTTAAATGATTCAAAGAACTTTCTGCTTGTCTTAACAAAATAATTGATTTTGAAAAAAAAAGTTTGTTCCAATAAATATTAGACAATGTTACAATATTAATAATAATCTATTTGAAAACATTTAAAATTCCTCGAACATTGCGTTACGGTACGGGAAGTTCCAGCAATTTGCCTTAAGGCACGATGCCATACACCCCACTAGTTAATATTTATTATTATTATTATCATTATTTTCAAAAAAAGTCGAAATATTTCTTTGTCATTTTTCAAACATTTATTTTATATAATGCACAAATTCACGCCTCAAAAAAGTTGAAAAGAAAATCTTCCAAGTGTTCACACAAAGTGTTAATAAAATTAGAAGCACGGTTTTATAATTCTATATCGGTTTTAGTCTAGACTTGCAACTTCAAAAGCATAACAGCCAGGCAGATTTATACACAAATATTCAAAATATTTACCAATTTAGATAACTTTATCAAAATATATTTTTTATTTTATAAAAAGTTTTAATTAGACGTATTTGTAGATAAATTTCATTCATATCTTAATAATTTTCTATTATTATTTTGAAGTGTTAGGTTCCTGCGTGATAAAATGCATTTCGAAATTTATCTCAGAACTTGTGTAACATTTTCCAAACCAGATAAATATCGCAAGCTTCTGATTTGTCCAACGATAAACATAATTTATACAAACATTTTAGAATCTCTTGTGGCCTTATTAAATTGTGTAACTTCTTATTATTACTGCGTCTTGATCAAAATTAGATATTGACATTATGTTGGATATCATAAAGAGCCGCATATTATGCTTCGAGGCACGTACTGAGATATTTTTCATAAATATTACTGCTCTCTGATGTGTAATAAAATTATATATTTTGTTGGTCGTTTATGGCTTATAATGTCGCATTATTGGGTTATGACCAGATGAAACGGAATATCAAGATAAATAGGTTTGTGATAGATGAATATAAAATCAGAATATATTTGCTCAAGCTAAATACCAATTGCAATTGCTATGTAATTTAAATTTTATGATAAGAATAAATAAAATTATGTTTTCAGCACTACTTTAAATGCATACAAAAAATTAAAAAAAATAATTAGATCTTTGTATACATTCGAAGTTATTTATTTATTGGAGTAATTACTACTATTTTCATCATCTTTCACTTTTACATTCTTTTGCATTTTTTTTTAAAATTAAAATGAATAAATTTGTTATACGATTTAAAATATTCCACGTACTTTTAACGTTCTGAAATACGAATTTGGAATAATTTCCTTGTAAATACTTCCTAAGCAGGTATCAAATTTCAAGGTCCATCGTCGCGACTATTTCGTAATGTCCAAAATAAAAAACATGAGAGATCAGACGATAAAATTGTTGAAATTAATGAAGACTAAAAGCTTATTGTAAAAAATAACTAGCAATAGTGACTAATGTAAATTGATACGCTTAATTGTATTGAACATACTCAAATAAGGTTCAAAATTGACCAGATGATCAACACCTAAATTCCTCATACTGAAATACTACTAGAAAAAAAATTACTATTACATTGCATATTTTATTTTGTATTGATTTTATGGTAGTCGCATGTTTGAAAAATCAATATTAAATTTTTGCTTTAAAATATACATGCAATTTTATTCAGGTAGACTGTCAATCAAAAAGTTATAAGAATCCTTAACCCTTAACTAAATGCAAATTTTTCGATTTTGGTTTATGATGGAAAAGTACTCATTTCGAGCTTTACGAAGTCGAATTCAAATTAATGATAATACAATGAATTTGCATAACTTATTACGGATAAGAAGCACAATCTTGAATTTAAAATAAGTAAAAAAAAAATACTATATATTCCACACCAACTCCAATAGTGAAATACGTTATAAGATATATAAGTTATTTTTTTTTGTTAAAAGCACAAACAATATTATCATAGATAATTCCATCCAAATCATTGCACAAAAACCAAATTTAATCGACCAAATAAATCTCTACAAAAAACTAACCAACACGATTCAATGTCAATTTCAAATGATTTTTAAATTTTCAAAACCGCGTGCACGATTTTTGGCCAAAACGTGGATAAAAATATTTGATATTTTCTGATAATTTTAAAATGCTGTTTTTCTGATTTTGCCGTGAAATATTAATTAACGGGAGTCTATATGGAATTTTACGATGAGGATTTTAATTTTTAAAATCGATTCAGCCGTTTTGGAGATAACGTTGGCATAAGATCAAATTTTGACTCACTAATACATATATTTATCAATTTTAATATCA